AAATCCAATTTACATGACTCGCGGGTTGCCTACATTTACAATACTGGGGCCTTTGATGTGTCGAAAGCTGACATTATTTGACTCAAAGTCAAAGATAGTTATTCGAAACGAAAATGCCAAAAAAAAGCAGGTGTCAAAATTAACCCTTTTGCCGTTCTAGGTAATCCGGAATTCCGGCCGTTCTAATGCTAAGAAGTGTGTGCCAACCACGTACACACGAGGAAGAGTGTACTACAGGGCGGCCGCTCTGCCCCGTTGTTTTGAAAAGGTAGACTAGCCCGCTAGCAGACGGAGAGGGGAGGTGAGAGGGGACGGGCTAGTCTACCTTTTTAAAACAACGGGGCAGAGCGGCCACCCTGTATGTCCACAGTTGTTCTTACAGTGAACTGTTTTACTTATGCTTGTAAAAAATAGACTTGAACGTGATCTTTACCTGGCGGACGCCATCAAATATCTGCGACTACCACGATAGTCGTGTTTATGTTGCGAATCTGCTGTAATTGCCCTAACTTGATTACTGCGAGTTTGCGCGCGCCAGGTGCAACGCAGCCCGCCCGCGTTTTCTTCGGGTTCAGTGATTCTAAGACAAATGACAGGAAAGCGGCGACCATCCTTTACCCGATGGGGGGCGAGTCAGTCCTGGCCCTGGCGGCTCCTCTCCGCGCCACTTCCGTAGTAATGGGACTCCTCTGGACCGCTCAGCGGGATCACAATTACCCGAGTAAGGCAAACAATCGCCTCACCAATCCGTCTTAAACAGTGAATCTTTCGACTGGCCCATTCGGAAAGAGGGAAAAAGGAAAACCGAATCTATGATTCTCAAAACTGAATTTACAATCTATTTTGGTGAGTCTTATTGCTCTAAGTGCTCGTAAACTGAAAGTTTGCGTTGGAAGTCATAATGACCGGGGAGTGGCAATCATCAATTTTCCCTGAGGGAGCCCTTGCTGTAATTATGGGTGCTTGCTGAGTGCTGGCTTGAGCGTCCGTCGGGCTCTGGCTGCGACGCGCCTGAAGGTCGGGCTGGCAGCGTCTCACCGCGGCAGTAATGTATGCCTATCATCTAGGGGGCGCTGCGAGCTCAAGATGGGGCTGCTTCTGTCTGACACAACCTGTTGATTGGATTTTCTTGCTATTTTATACGTAACAAATTCTTGTTAACTACAAAAACCCCATATGGTTCGGGAAATAACTAACGAAACTTGTGGTCTAAAGGGCTGAGCTATAGCGGAGCTGCTTACTCCGTCTGGTTGGAGAAAAACTTTGTCTGTCTGTCTGAAGATCAACATTCTTGCACTAAAATTGATCTCTGAAAAAATTCGAAAACAACCGGTCTCTAAATATTTTATTGTTTTTCAAATGTATGTTTATGGACGCCGGGGTCGGGGTTAACACCTCAGACTTCAGTCTTTGAACCAAAATTTTGTCCGATTTGCTCTACCTCTCACCGTTTTGGCACTAGAGGGCGTTTTGGACAAAAATAAGCGGAACAATTATGAGCTTGCATCGGAAGTCGTAGAAATAGATGTCAAATCAAAAAGTGACGAAAAACTACCCCCATAAAACCATTCATTCTGAGTTAGGTTATTACTTCATTTTGGATATAGTGGCAACACCACTTATTTCATTGTGAACATGGATTTTCTGCGTTTTAGGAGGCTGTAGGCCCGTTTGTTCGTTTCTTTTTTCCACTACTACACTCGGGTGTCAGCGCCGCAGGTTAAGGTAGATGTATGCCGGGCAGGGCTGTTAACGTTAATTTGAAATGTTAGCGCGCTAACGTTAAAGCGATAACGAACCAAAGTAACTTAACGCGCTATCGTTTCTACGTTTAGACACATGTAACGCGCTAACGATAACGTTAACGTTAACTGTTAACGCCGTTAACGTTAATCAGACTACCGTAGCTGAGGGAGCTGCAGTGTGCGTGCCGGAAGTGCAGTAAACAACAATTATTGCATAAAGCGGCAAAATTCAATAATATGACATGGACAGATCCGTGCAAAATGGGTTATTTCTATGCCCTCTTGCAGAAAAGTGTTAACGTTAACGGCGTTAGGCCGCTAACCGCAAAAGTAACGTAGCGCGATAACGTTAATGCTTCAGCGTAAATGTAACGCGCTAACGTTAATCGTTAATTAACGTTAACGATTAACGTTAACGGCGTTAATTAACGGCGTTATTCGTTAAATTAGCGTTAACAGCCCTGATGCCGGGAACGTAGCAGCGTAACAGTGGTGTCGCGTAGACACATTTTTTAGACACTCATATTGGTTACAATAAGTGCGGTTGAAGACGGTGTGGGTGGGCAGCAGTGAGGCAGCAATAAGGTGTTGCTTCTCCGGGATTCTGGCCGCAAGCTGTTCGGAGCGGTGCCGAAATGTAATAGGTGGAAGGAGTGTTGAACCATCACGCTGCCACCCAGCTGCAACCCGCTGTATGAAATGCCTGGTAGAAACGGCCATAACGGGTTGGTTTAAGAATCGCCCTGTGCGGTGTGTGACTTGTGAACGTGTCGTAGGTGTACTGAACTGCACGCAGCTATGCAGACGGGCTTGATAACCGTCACTCAGTGAGGCAGCTTATGGGAGCGTACAAAGAGTCCGCTAGATTTATGTCTTTGAAATTAATTCCGGAACTTATGGGAGCTCGGCGCCTGCGATACTGAGGGTACGCCACCCCATACTACCAGCATGCCCTGCTCGCAAGAAATAAGTCACCTTGTTGCGCACCTACCAGGCGATGTGATAGCTTTCTTTGGCTAAACTTTGGCAAAGTAACAGGGAATCACGAACGTACTTTCTGGATTATTCCTATTGCCCTCAGAGAGTAGACAACCAATCCACACCCGTCTATTATGCGCAGTTTAACTAAAGTGTGCTGCAGGGTCTGTCGCCACGAGGGGGGCAAAAACCCCCTTTTGATGTGTACATATGATTCCCGAAATACTTTATTCCCAGTGATTATCGTCTGCTTATTTTTATTACTTGGGTTTCCTAGTTGTATTTCGACTGTTTTGTACCATTTCTACTTGTTTCCGCTTAGTTTATGTGATTTCGTGATTTCTCTTGATTTCGATTTATTTTTATCCTAAGTTTATTCCCAGAGTTGTTGCCCCCTCGGTGGGCCACATTTTGTGCATTCTCTTGTGGGTATTTTTACTCGTCATTTACTACTGGCTGCCGTGAACCTATGTGGTCCGTTAAATAAAGATTATTGCTTTCTAACATTCTTCACAAGGATTTTTTAAAAGTTACAGTAAGTTGCATTCTATACATTTTGCACGAGTAACGAAATAGTTTTGCAAGTAGCCTGCATTTCGGCGAATTTAAATAAATTTCGATGAAAATTCTACACGGAGACATTTTCAGTGAATTTCATTCAAAATTCAGAATTTGAACATTGAAGTATAAATTTTTAGAAGCTCATTTTACTTACAAATCAAGTGTTCAAACAAATTTTAGTGGACAACTCCTCTGTTCGACTTTCGAGTTAAGTCACTTGCTAGTGTCTGTTGTTGAGTTGAACACTAGCAACTATAATTTAACTTGCAGTTGTACACTGACAAGTTTTTACTAGTTGAACACCTGGCCTGTCAGTGTATTATGCGTACAATGATTTTATTACCCTTAGTGTGGGGTTGAAGTTCTTGTCACTTTGCTATGCTCTACATTTCTGGTTTCATAGCAGATCCATTAACACCAGTTTTGTGAAATTGCTACATTCTGCCTGACTCAACAAATTTGCCGAAAATGTATGTGTTAAAGATCACAAGCTATCCCGCTTTTGATTTTGCCTCACAAAATCTAAGGTGTAACAATGCAAACCGTTCACAGAATACTCTGCTCCAGACACTGTTTGTATTTCTGCGGCAGGGCCGGGTCGTTGGCCCCTAGCGGCGCCGTCGTGCATGACCGTTGGGCTCGCCCTTGCAAGAGGGAAAGGGGGGGGGGAGGCTGACTCGGCCGAGGCGACGGGGAAACGGAAGGGCCCCTGCAGAATGGAAGGGGCGCAAAGGAGAATCGCGAAAACAATCTGAGCCAGCCGGACGGCCAGACACCTCACTTTCACCTTCTTCCTCTGTTAATCGGCCGTTGGACCCCCGTCCTGCGTTGCGCGGCAGTGTCCGCTTGCTTTCGCCCAAGTACGTGGGAAACGCCTGCTGCCGGTTGGCCTTTCCCCGTCGCCCATATGCCCGGTGGCTGCCGTGAGAACCATTTATTTAATCTCCCCCCCCCCCCTTTTGCGTTTCTTTCTGTGTTGCTGTCGCATAGAATGGTCGAATCTCTTGTTACTCAAGAACATGTGCGTAATCTCATGTGCGTATTATCCAGTGGCGTCATTGGTTTTAGTAATTCCGCCCTATGTGGAATGCAACCCTTGTTATGTTAGTTCTGTCTAATAATTGTGTAATTCCATTGCATTTCCGTTTTCAGTTCATGACGTCGCCTTGCTTTATGTACACTTGTCACGATTAGAAGCCCGCAGGGAGCTGATTTGTGTCGGTAATGATAGGGTAAATTGTTTTATAGTCTTTTTCTGTAACAATATTCTCGATTTTTATTGAGAATAATAAGTAACAACAAACAATAAATTAGACATCCATACATTCAAAGAGAATCGTTAGGTGAAAATTTTAAAGTTCTACCAAACAATGAGGCAACTATGTTGCTCCGTTGAAGGCATAAAGAGTATTTCAAGGTACTGAATGTGTCATTCAACTAGAATGGCACATGCAAGTCAAAGGTACACTTGTCAATAAGCTTATCAAGTCTTTTCTAATTGTTAATTTTTGTACTGTATCAGTCATTGGAGTATTCTCCTGTACATGTTTAATATGTCAGTGACAGAGGTAAAGTAAGATGAGTCAATTTCCACCGTGAAACACAGTCATGAAGTCAACAACTTTAAGGTAGTGCAGTGAGGAAGACTAAAAGGCCTTTCACAAAGTCAGTATGAGGAGAGGAAAAGGGTTGTTGCAGGATCATTTAGTCAGTAGGTTCGGTTTTCAATTATGTACTTTTCACAGTAGAATGTACAATGATGGTCAATTAGTCTTTGGCAAGTAGTCAATGTAAGTACAAAGTTTAGCTTAGAGATATTTTTTCAGTCCCTCCAGCTCTGTCATCACTCAGTTGTACTATGTCCAGTGCTTATTATGTACTCCAGTCCGTCTATAATGCAGGTTGCTAGCGTCTATTTTATGTACAGTTCGTCCGCTCTCCACTCAGAAGTCGCAATAATTAGTCTTTTCACAGGGAAATGGCAAAAAGTTACACAATTTTCAGGTTTTGTCAGAAGACAGGCACGAGGAGGATATTTAGTAATAAATATCAGCTTATATACACTCACAAATAATTTAAAAATAAATTAAGGGGATGGGGATGGGGGACGGGTAAAAAAATCTAGATCTCTTTTCAACTCGAGGGTGGATGATCTGGGGATGGGGATGAGGACTTGGTGATGTTCACTCTCGATTGAAACGCCGTCGCCTCTATCCGAAGGGACCGGAAGAGGACTTTTTTTTTCGTCCAGCGGCGTTGATCGTATTCGAACCGCCGTCTGTTGGTACGCCGCGCTCCAGCCCAGCTACCCGGCGGTAGCCGCGCTGCGCAGCGGCGACCCCCGACGGCAGCTGCCCGCCCGGGGTCTGCAGGGCGGGGCCCACGATGGTGGATGACTCTGGAAACAAGACGGTCCTGGTTATTCGAGAGATCCGAGCCAAGTAGTGGCAGTGGCAAAGGGGGGCCGCGGGCGCGACGGGAATCTCGAGAGAAAGAAGCACCCGGCCGCCCACGCCCAGCCGCGCCGTCCCGCTGCTCACAAAGCGGTACGTGGGACACTATCCCTCACCGCTAAACCTAACCTGCCCCGTTTCGCCATGTCTGTCACACGCTCCGCGACGTGACGAGGGTCTTGTTCAGACAAACGATTCGAGCCGCCTAAAGGTACCTGAAGGTAGTGCCCGCCCCATCCCGTACAGTGGGCGCCCACTGCGTGGCCTAGAACTCACCTGCTCCTCTTTACTGCTGAGGCGCCTGCGCCTTGTAGGCCATCTGGTGGGGGTCCTCGACGATGGACCTGCCCCAGCCGCCGCTGCTGCCGTGGCCGCCGCCGCCGCTGCTGCCGCCGTAGTCGCCGCCGCTGCTGCCGCCGCCGAAGGACGCGCCGGAGCCGGAGGACCAGGAGTCGTGGCCGCCGCCGCCGCCGCCACCGCCGTGACCGTGGCCGTGCGACACAATCTCGTAGGTGACGGTCTTCTGCTGCTGGGACAGCAGCTTCTTCAGGCCGATGATGGAGGCGAGCAGCAGGGCGATCTTACCGATGAGCAGGGCCTTGCCGGCGATGAGGGCGATGGCTCCGAGGGCCAGGGGGATGAGGGCGGCGGCCTTCAGCTTCATCATCAGCAGGAGGGGCAGCAGGATCTTGGCGGCCTTCTCTGGAAGCAGAAAAGAGAGAGGGGGTGGGTTAGCGTCGGATGGGTGGCCTACGCGGCGGGCGGAGGAGCGCGGTGGCTCGGCGGCGGCGGCCAGGCCGCTTGCGGGGTGGGAGCGGGGACCGCACGCACAGAGACACGTCACGCAGCCCATTCAGCACCGTTCATTCGGGTGACTCAACGGTCATTACTGCCGCTGACCTAGGCCCCTGTGTCTCTGTGTCTCATCCCAACCGTCCCCTGCTCCCTGCCGTTACAACGGCCCCGACCCTCCCAGTGGAGGTACAACTATAGCAGATGATGCTGCTATAGCGGAAGGGGAAAGGAAAAGAAGATGAAACAGACGTCTTGCTGATGGGCCGCTGTTAGGAGATGGGCCGACCGGGCCAGAACCACCTACCCGCTACTGCCCCTGATTGCGTATCATCTCTCTCTCTCTCTCTCTCTCTCTCTCTCTCTCTCTCTCTCTCTCTCTCCCCCCCCCCCCCCTTCCGTCTTCCTCTCTGCGTCGTGACCACCATTTCGACAGCAGGGCCATGAACTTGCAAGCAAGATGCTGCTGCCGCCGCCGGCTGCCAGCTCAAGAGTCACGATCAGCTCGAGATCAAGATCCAGTCCATGATCACGACAGCGAGACACCGCCTCTGCGGCCTGGTGGGTGGGGTGGGGCGGG